CGCCGCGTCCTCTTATGTTCTCCAGATCTTCCAGGTGGAGCAAGGGGTGGGCTCTGGGTGCAGTGGGGAGAGGTGGGATGGAGGAGAAACCCTTTGGGTGGGTGGGTAGCAGGGGAGGAGAAGGACATGATGGCGTTTCCTCAGCCCAAAGGTCCACGTGGACCTTCTCTGTCTGGTAGCCCTCAGTAGATGTCTTTCCTGTGGCCTCATCCTGTGTCCTCACGCCCCATGAGCTGCATCAGGGCGGGGTTGTCGCCTGGTGGGTCACCACCACCACCTCATGGGTCACCACCACCACCTCGTAGGTCACCACCACCACCTCGTGGGTCACCACCACCACCTGGTAGGTCACCACCACAACCTCGTGGGTCACCACCACCATCTCGTGGTACCACCGGAGGTGCCGATCAGGTGGGCTTTGGCCATCAGAGCCTTAAATTCGCAGAGGAACTTTGGCCTTGTCCTCACCAGGGTTTGGGATCTTCCTTCCTACAGCTGCCGGGATGCCGGACGGGAAGGAAAAAGCTCTGGAGGAACCAGAAGGACCTGAGCTGCGTTGGGTCCTGGCCGAGGTGGACATCCCCCAAGAGCCAAACCCACCAGCGCGACGCAAGAGTCAACGTCAACGCGGGGTCGAAGAACCACGCAACGACGCCCATGGACGCCCATCACCGAGGAAGGGTGGGCGGCTCCAACCTCGCCGCGGGAAACGTTCACCGAAGAAACCTTCTGGTGGTGGCACGAGCGCGGTGACCCCCGAGGCCCCCTACGCGTGTCCCGACTGCGGGAAGCTCTTCAGCCGAAGGTCCTCCCTCATCCCCCACCAACGTATCCACACCGGTGAGAAGCCCTTCACCTGCCACGAGTGCGGGAAGAGCTTCCGGGTGGGATCGGCTCTCAACAGGCATCACCGGGTCCACACGGGTGAGAAACCCTACGAGTGTTCGGAATGCGGGAAGCGTTTCCGGCTCACCTCCACCCTCAGCACCCATCGGAAGACCCACACCGGAGACAAACCCTACGTCTGCCTCGTTTGCGGGAAGACCTTTCGGTTGAGCGCGTATCTCCTGGCCCACGAGGCCACCCATAAAGAGGACAACCCTTTCCGGTGTCTGGCGTGCGGGAAGAGCTTCAGCTTGAGGAGGTATCTGGTCATACATCAACGGATCCATACGGGAGAGAAGTCCTTCAAGTGCTCGGTGTGCGGGAAGGGCTTCAACCGGAGATCGGTCCTCGTCGTTCACCAGCGGGTCCACACCGGAGAGAAACCCTACAAATGTCCCGAATGCGGGAAGAGCTTCATCATGAGTTCGGATCTTCTCGCCCATCGGAGAATCCACACCGGGGAGAAACCTTACAGCTGTCAGGACTGCGAGAAGACCTTCCGGTTGAGTTCCCACCTTACGAGACACCAGCGAAGTCACAGCGGAGAGAGACCCTACAAATGTCCAGATTGCGGGCAAAGCTACACGGACAGCTCTGGCCTCATCAAACATAAGAAGATCCACCTGGAGAAGAAGCAGAGGACATCTCAGGGAGCCCACCTGGGAGAAGGCCGTTACAAATGTCCCTATTGTAGTAAGAGCTTCCATGGAAAGTCAGCTCTGGTCCTTCACCGGGCCACCCACGTCGGAGAACGACCCTATAGGTGCTCCAAGTGCCAGAAGACCTTTGGCCATAGCGCGACCCTGCTGAAACATCAACGGATCCACACCGGGGAGAGACCCTTCAAGTGTCCCCACTGTGAGAAGAGTTACAACGACGGCTCGACCCTTCGGAGACACCGGAAGAGCCACGTGGAGGAGAAACCCTATGAGTGTCCCAGTTGTGGAGAATGTTTCGGGGCCATCGCGGCTCTCCTGAAGCATCAACGGTTCCA